CAATTCATTTGTAGGCTATTTTACAAATGGGAATACAACAAATTCATGACAATGTTTTACATTCAAGCTACCCGTAAAATTTATAGTGAAAAGTACTTTAAAAGCGTCTGGAATGCAATAAAGTAATTTTAAAGCATTTGCTGCATGGATAAAAAAATAGGCTAATAAATAATTAACATATCATACAATTTCGTTGCAGCAAATCCTTTAAATGTTAAGGTATTCAGAACAGAGCTACATAAAAATCAGAAAAAAGCAGCTATACAATTATAGGACAAAGTTTTACATATATGCCCTTATAATTTGTGTTTTATTTTTTAATTGTCCGGAATTATCAAATAAAATGCAAATTATAATCGGGCCTGTTTTAGGCTTTTCCTTATTTTAATATTTTAGACATCCATCAATTATGGTGATGAAAAAAATGACTGCCATCTCCTCACTGGATGTGCTTTTAGAGAAAAATGCAAGGATTACATAATGAAAGAGTTTTGAATTATTTCGTTTTTAAATAGTACTTTGAAGCTTTCTATATATTTTTATCATGTCTGTGAGGCAATTCGCTGAGTTCCGGTTCATCACACACAAATAAAACTAGACCATTTACAGTTTAGAATGATGCATTACTCTTACCTTTATGAGCAAAAAAAACATAAACATGAACGTAAACAAACAAAATAAAAACATACAATTGTCGATTTATATATTTTTATTTCTTATTTACTATTTTTTATTATCTGTGTTTTTTGTTCTGTCACTGTCATTCTGTTACACTGTGGAAGCTTCTGTCATGAAAACAAATTCCTCGTATGTGTAAACATACCTGGCAATAAAGCTCATTCTGATTCTGATTCTGAAAAATGACTGCGTATTTTAAGTTGTTTCCACTGTTAGAAAAAAATGCAAGTGATCGCGCCGGCGCCTCCATGTCCTGCAGAGCACTCTTCAGCTTCCACTCTCTGCACAAACGATTGGATATGCGTCTAACAGCGCACATTTATCTAGGTTAAACATTTAAACTAACATTGACGAACAAAAAAATGCACCAAACTTTTTTTTTTTAATTTACTTTATAAAAAAAAAAACGAAACGAAATATAATCACTTTTCCATTACATACACAACTGAACTACTTTAATAGCTGAAACCGTAGCATAAGCTTTTTTTGTGGGAAAAGGGGAAAAAGACGGGCTAGGGCCTATATTTGAGGCCCATGCATGGCTCTAATCCACTTCATCCAACGCCGTTTTGTTCTCATCTGTGAGCATGCTCTTGATGTGTATTTTACAATTTTGTTGAGTTTAAAACGTGTGACACGTGTATTCATTCTACTCCCACTGATCATTTCAGTGTTCACTGGAAAGTTCACCATTCACACTTGCTTGAACGATCGTTTTACGATTCAACGGCTCAGTTCAGCTCACTCATTGAAACAAAACAACAGTTTGCTCAAGTGGGAACGGAGGAAAACGGTGTACATCGTCACTCGTAGATGAGGCGCTAAATGACGTCCAGTGGCAGGGTAAACGCGTCTTATCTGCGTTTGTCCCCATGATCCTGACAACAGCAGCTTGACGAGGCCACAGCAACAGCTGATGGAGGCGAATTGAGAAGACGGCCCTATCCCACGACTCTGCGAACCATTTTCATACAACCAATGGCATCCACTGCGTTTCACGTTCGTTTGAACAAATGAAACAAAAACTGTGTGAACACTAAGAAAACACGGGAGTATTCATCTCCTACCGCCTTCACGCACAGACATGGCGGAAAACTTGTTCGGTGGTCGCATTTAGCAACAGACTTGTTGGCGCGATCGGAGACTTTAAAGCGGCGTCATGTGGTTCCGAGGTCTATCACGGGTCACGGTCTAAACATAACCTTTTTAACGTTAAACTACCCGAAGACCAACACATTTTTCATCGCAGCTTTCTTTTTACCAGCTCCCTGTTCACTTTTTCGCGGCACCAGTGACAACAACAATAAAAAAAAATCCCCTCTAACAACAGTAGATCCCCTAACGTTACACCTTGATAGGAATTTGGTTGTGGGCTGTAAACACAACCAACGTTGGTGTTTAAAATGTGGGTGTTTGCTTGTAAACAGCTCCAAGTAGAACGTCACGTGTTGTCAGGTGTGTTTGATTAGAAGCGACGCTGCGCAGACCGATCGGCGTATGACATCAAAGTACCGAGAGAGCGATTCAAAAGCTTAAAGAGGTCATATGATGCGATTTCATTTTTTCCTTTCTCTTTGGAGTGTTACAAGCTCTTGGTGCATAAAGAAGATCTGTAAATTTGCAAAGACTATAAAGTATCAAATCCAAAGAGATATTCTTTATAAAAGTTAAGAGTCAGCCACACCCCCCTAAAACGTCTCGTTCGAACATGCCCCCACATGTCTACTTCACGATGTGGGAAGATTTGCATAATGCCACCCAAATGTTCACGCAAAGAAAGAAGGCGTAACTTTTATTCTCGGTGTAGTATTGTTGCCGCCGCCGCCATGTCCTGCAGACGCTGTGTGTTTCGTTGTGAAAGCGAAACTACTTTGTTTGGTCTTCCAAAAGAGGATGATATCCGCTTCGTCATGCCTGGAGCTGATCTGTGCTGGTTGCTGAGGGAATACATCAACTTAGTGCTGTGGATCGCCGGATCGGCTTTCACCGTTTTCACCGCTCCTTCGCCGGGACCGCCGTTCTCGACCCCGCCGCCTCAGCTCACACTTGCCCGGCTTCAGCTCATGCTAAACATGATATAATTTCAGTTCTGTTGCTTTTATATGAAAATAAATATGATGAACAAGACACTCAAAGTGCTTGCTATTTAATTCCATACGAAAGGTGTATTTATCATCCATTTTTACTTTAATACAAACATGTACTTTAGATTTTTATAGAAATATGACAATCACATTATCTCACACAGAGATCGCGCTGTCATAGTGTTTGGGAACATTCATGCATAATTTAAATACATAATCATATGAAATCAGATAAAAATAAAACATTTTAGAAGAGAACCGCAGCATCACAGTTGTCAACCAATGAGCATTAATCTGTGTCGTCAGTCAGTCGTTTCCCATCATGCTTTTGATCAGCGTAGTCGGTGGAGAGCAACTGCGCTCGACTGCACAATCCGACACAACCACCTCGCCGTCGCGAGAGTTTTTTTGCACACGTCAGCATGACATCAGAGCAAGTCGGACGTAACTCGGACACTTTTCTAACCGGCATGCATCTCGCGGTGATCACCGGTGATTGATTCTGCGCAGAATTTGCTCATCTCAAACAAGCCTGTTGTTTGCTCTCCAATCGCTCTCGCGGTACTTTGATGTCATAAGCCGATCGGTCTGCGCAGCGTCGCTTCAAATCGAACACACCTGTCATCTCAAAATCATGCTAATTACGATATGCCGTGAACGCACCTATAAACACAGCCCTAAAAATGAGACTACAGATATGCTGACTGAAACACCAATGTAGCTAAAGAAAAATGTGTTTCTCTTACAAAATATATGTGTATACAGCTAAACGCGTCTCCGTGTGGACGGGGCCTTAATCGATGAGGCAATCAATTACCAAACACATCCAGTCAGAACAGTGGCTTGATGCTGTACCTCGTCTTATAGTTGGTTGGCCACGTGTCACATTTATTATGTCTACGTATACATTACTAGATGAGCCAAAAGACTAGTTTTATAACCCCCTGATATTGTAATTCCCTTTATAGTGCAAACCAAAACATGAACAATCATGAACTGCGTTTAGTTAAAAACAAAAACAACTAAAAACAATTAGATCTGTGAGTCATGTCTTTGAAGAAATAAACTGAATGTGAATCTCACTGGCAAGGCAACCTATATTAATTTATTGATGAACAGAAACAAGAACTAGCCAATTATTTCCTTAGTCTGAGTGCTTTAAAAAAGCCATTTGAAACATTATAAAGCCGGTGAGCTCATTATCCCCCACCATGTTTGCAAGTTACCTAAAGGGTCTTCCCGTCAAATCGCTTGGTTTATTCTCCACAGAGCGTGGTCCCTCGAGATTACAAAATAGGGAGAATTAAATAGAAACAAATTAGGGAGGCCTAAAAGTGTCTCATGGAGGAATATAATTACCTTTCCGTTACTGAAAGTCATGTACTGCAAAACAACGTGGTTTATCCAGAGGAAATTTTCATTGTCCTTTATGTGACTTTTATGTTTGCTGTAAAAAACCATGGGCCATTTTGGTTATGTAGGCCAATTAGAGAAAAACCAGACAAGTGGATGTGTTACGCACCAGAAAGAAAGATGAGAATGGAGGTGACCGGAGATACCCGGTGAATTCTGTTGATAGTGATCAGGCAGCTTTCTTAGACATTCAATTCCCTGCAGCATTGCTCAGGCCGGCCACCAAAACAGTAGGGCAAAAGTAACGGTCTGCTTGAACCCAAGAGGATGCTGTTGGGAACACTGGACAACAACAGCACAAGCAGCACTATCTTCTTAGATCAGAGGTCTTAAACTCAAAATACCTAGTGGCCACTAATCAGGTGGTGGACAGTTGAAGACTTACAACAAAAATGGGCTTTTATGACTACTTTTATAACCTTTTCAAAACTTTTTTAACATTAATACAAATTACATGTTTCAGATGGTTTACACAACATTCAAATGTAACTTTCCCATAATGTTTGCAAAATGTTATTTCAGCTGAACACATTTTTGTCCCTAGCATCATATTTAGGTACAGTGAGTGCACACTACTGAAGTATTTACCAGTTGGAGCTAATGCACAGTTTGTATGAAATAGATGCCGACATGGTCGGAGAAGCACACATTTAAATGTTATGGTTTCGGTCAATGATTTCAGCCCTGTGAAACGGAGAAATTATTTTTTTGTGCTTTTCCAGGTGAGTATTTTTGGTGCTTCACTGACTGTATACATTTCTTTTTTTCTGGAGAACACAAAAGAAGATTATTCTGAAGAGTGAAAAGCACTATATGGACAAAAAAAAGGCATGGAGATGTTTTTGAAAATATCTTCTTTTGTGTTCCACATAAGAAAGAAAATCAAGCTGGTCTGGAACAGAATGTTTATGTTTGGGTGAACTATCCATTTTTAAGAGGGCTACAGGATAAAAGCCCAGACCAGAATTTTAAAATTGATTTGTGGGACGCATGTATATACTATTAATGAAGAGCTCTATATCACAGCCAAGGTTTGGTACAGCAATTGTCTCTAGAGTACTAATGGAAATATCTACTGAACGCAGGCAGGCACTTCCAAGTAAACATAGTCATGTAAATAGGCAATGAGTGGGTACTTAAGGAAAAGTCATTGGAAGAACAGCAAAAACAGCATGTCTTACACAAAACTATGTTCACAGCTTGGCGGCCAACTCACAGGTCTGCTTTAAAACAACACTGGCTGTAATGAGTAGCTGTACCTGGGCATGAAAAATGAGCATCTGCTTTTGCAGATAAGGCATCGCTGAGAAAAACTGAAATGTAGCTTTATTTGGTATGTCTGGTGGTGGAGAAAAAATGTAGGATATGATGCATGCTGACATGTGAAGGGGGGTGGGCAATGTAAACGGTTGCAATGGAACAACGCTGCCCCCTATTGGAATATTCAATTACACTCACAATTCACCAGTTTTTCACTGAAACGAATGTAATTAAAAATGTACAGTTGAAAACACTACAGATCATGTATATGTTGAGAAAGTACATGACTGATCTGTTGAAGCGGCAGAAGAAAGTGTTTTGTGATGAGGGGGACACACATATCACTTTTGCTCAGAAGATAGTGCTCAATTCTCCCAGGACAGGAAGTGATCCTGCTGCTTCTGCTCTGAAGTCCATCTCAAGGCATGGACACAGATGGCGACCGCATGGTGCCGATGGAAATTGCGAACCATCTTGCATCCTCGTGCAAACGTAACATCATACGCATATTAACACACATTTTAGAGTTTACATTGAGTTGTCCTGCTGACCTTCTATATCTGCGCTAGGCCAGACTACAGAAATATGGTACTGCTTCAGGTCTTCTTCAGAGACAAAGTCTGGAGCACGACTCATGAGGTCGTGACCTCTGAAGGATTTTGGAAAGGCTATGACGTCTCTGATACTGGGAGCTCCTACAATGATGGACACCAGTCGATCCAGCCCTGTTCAAAGGAAATTTTATATTTATTATGTATGCACAATATATCGTTTCCATATTTATTATGTGTAATGATTTTTTAACTAATTCATTAATGTAATGTTATTACAAGATGTATTACAAAAACAAGTCTGAGATCCTGATAATATGCTGATTTAGTGCTCATTTCTTATTATTATTAATGCTGAAAACACAAATATTTTTGTGGAAACTGGTAATTTTCAGAATTATTTTTAAATCAGAAGTATTTTGTTACATTATCAATGTCTTTGTCACTTTATATCAATTTAATGCATCCTTGCTGTATAAAAGTATTAATTGCTTTAGATTAATTAATTTAAATAAACAACCAAACGTTTGAACTGTAGTGTATTTATATTAAAATATTTGTATAAATATACATTCAATACATTTAATCATGCATGCTCATTCCCTTTATTTTTACATTTGAATGACCCTTTTCATCATCAAATGCTCTTAATCTTTAAAAACAATCATTTAATATCACTAAATGTCATCTTTAGAAAATCTCAAAATTAATATAAGTTTTTCATACTATATAATGTTGTGATGCCTGAATTCACTTGAAGCATTTAAAACACCTGATTTTAGTTTTTAGTAATTGAATTTTAAATGACTTCTTTAAATTATCTCTGATAATTACACACATTTAGTTGACTTTTTTTTTTACTCTTTAGATTTTATAATGTAAACAAGAACATGGCAAATTTGTGTATCACAGTTTATGCAAGCTGTAAAAACAGCTCTAGTGCTGCCATACACACAAATAAACCCAAACAGAGGTTCTCGAATGATCAAGGGCACTTCATGCTTCAGTTTACAGTCTCAAGCTGAAACAAAGCTGCCAAAGATTCTTGGCTGGGCAAGCAATTTGAGTTTTTGAGCATGACCGTTCCACTTTAACCAACAGGAGAATGTAATCAACAAGGCCTTTCGGTACCCCAACAACCTTGCAAAAGTCCAAGGTAGCATGTGTTGAATGCACACTCACCTAATGCGATTCCACCATGCGGAGGGGCCCCGGAGTCCAGAGCCTCCAATAAATGGGAAAGGAGTGATGGGTCCTCCTATAACACAAGCAGAGAAAAAAGGACAAAGTGGACCTTAATTCACATCCTTTTCAGTTTGAAAGGGAATTGTTCAGAGTCTCGGCATGTCTAAATCATACAGATCCATACAACTGCTTTAGTGTCAAGAGAGTAAATAGACCTTCAAAAAGATTTCCTTTGTAGACACAATTCTTAAGATCGACTTGAGCAAAAACACCCTAATGTGGTGTTTTTTCTCCCTGGCTCTTAAGATCCAAAGCATTTGTTTTCTTTAAAGGCAGTTAAATATAGCTTAATGGGTTGCCACAGCGACCGAACTAGTAGTCGGTGGTGCGGGGGTGTTAAGTAAGAGTCACAAATAAGAAAATGGTGCAGTCAGGTATCTGGACACGTCCATTACAAGTGCTTTAACTCGCTGTCAGAGTAGCATTAAATGATGCTCTTTGCTCGCCGTATAATTTTTCACTCTTGTTCCATTACCTTGAGAATTGTGTCCAGGACGTACAGCTGCTGAGAGGCATTGTGGATGCGAATTGAACCTCCTCCGACCTCGCAGCCATTCAGCACCAAGTCATAATGCTGGCCACGCACCTGAGAGAGCAGATAAACAGGTGGGGGAAACACGTGGAATTCAGAGCAAGATCATAAATTTCCTCTATGAAATACTAGGCTCATGAGTGATAAAACTATACAACATACTATTTCTGGGTATCACCAACTATCTCAGTGTTTCCTAACCACTGTGCCGTGTGACAGGTTGTCAGTTGTGCCGTGGAAAAATAGTCTGGAGACAGATCTCTGCTAGTTCACAATGCAAGGGTAAATAAAGAACTGATGTTTGAATAAGTACAGCATTGTCTTTACACAAGAAACACTATGCCTATAAAGGTTAATGGTTTTTTTGTGTGTGTGTGTTTGAAGAGCAGAGAAGAGTGTTAGTATTTGCCATCTAGGTGTAGCTAATATACTGTTTTATATATCCTGTGCATATAGCACTTTATCTTTTATATCATGAGATTTTGGCAAAAAAACAACAACAAAATAACTGAGCGCCCATATAGCTTCAATAAACTTTATAACCTGTAAGTTGATGAAAATGTAATGCAATGCACTTACTGCCTCAAATGCGTTCTAATGATGGACAAAACACATATTGCTGTCATTCGCTGGTCAAAAACCTCATAACTCCATTTGAGCTTGATTTTCATAAAATGTTAATATAATAATGGCACATGCAAGTGTCTGATCATATGTAAAGCCACATTACCAACTCTGATGACGCAGTGTTTAATTATAAAAAAAAAAAAAGTTTTTACATTTCCTGAAAGTGGTGGAGGTTTTGGACATACAAGGTTTCCGCCCAACAGTGACGATATGTAAATTTGTTGTTTTTTCATCACCAACAACATAAAACTACCTATGACCTTGTGTTCCTACCTGACTTAAGCTCAAGTTTCACATTAAAGGGGTCATATGATGTTGCTAAAAAGAACATTATTTTGTGTATTTGGTGTAATGAAATGTGTTTATGCGGTTTAAGGTT